TAAAGTATGATTGTTTTATTTATAATAATATTTTAGTATCTTTATATAAGGTAAGTACGCTATATTATATTTTTCATGCATATATTTATAATATTCAAGCTTGAATATTGGTGTTAAATACGTAATGTAATTTATAATATAGCATAATATAATATAGTGTAAATAATAATATAAAATAATATAACATAAGGTAGAATAAAATAATATATTATAATATAACAGTTTAACAAAGTTATATTATAATATCATAGCCATAGATACATTCTTTAAAAGCAACGAGAATATAAGTCTGTATGAGTGTGTGGAGTATCACTCAACGCGCGGGATTATCGGGGATTCAAATTACGTGCCTATATACATTGTGGCATCGACTTTGAATTTTCATTCTTAAATAATTTTCAATTATTCTTGAAAATTATTTATTATACTATTTATTTATTTTTAATTTATAATTTCGTTACGATAGTTCGTAACAATCCACCGCGGATTTTTCCGTTTTCGTCCCCGAAAACTTATGGTCTCGACCTAAGCATTCCTTATACTTTGTATATCGACATATAATCTAAATATTGTGTCTACTTGGTGACTCTTCTAAGCACTGCTACAGTATAGGACCCAGTGTCAATGTCTTCGTGCTGATACAAATCAGTTCATTTCGTGAAGTGATCGAGTGCAGTTGTGGATTTTTAAAACTTTTTAGATTATTTTATTTTTGGACTAGTGAAAAATTTTGGAAAACTATTTTTTATTCTATACAAATAGTGTGAAAGGTGCAGTAAGGACGATGGCTGGAAATATGGAAGATACCATGGAAGGGATAATTGGTGAGTTCAATCTTTTCCCCTCCCCTTTTTATACCAACTGTTTACAACAATTAGAAAAAGTATTTCTATATTTTAATATACCAATTCACATACACTCTTTTACATTTATACATACAGGTAACAATAATTACTTAATTATTGCCTTTTTTTCATTTTATTTTATTAAACATTTTGTTTATAAAAAAAAACTTATTCTTAATTTCTTTATATGTATATATGCATTCATGTGTTTATTTATATATGTGGTACATTTTTTTTTCTTAATAATTTAAAAAAATTTTTTTTTTGTTTGTTTAAAATTTATATATAAAAAAAATTCCTGCCAAAAAAGGTGAATAATTTATTTATTCCAAAAATTTATGTCTATATAATTTTAAAATTGTTGTTAATAAAAGAATAGCGATAAACAGCACATATATAAGGCAATAAGCAATTATTTAATTATTACAAAAATATTTCAAAAAGAAAAACTTGAAAATAATTTTTTTGAGTTTGATTCGAAATGATATTAGACATATATACCATCCTCTTAGAGAAGAATGTATATAGTCGTTGCGACGCCTCATTTTATGCTTGATGACAGCATATATAGATATACTTATACAAAACTCCTGCGCGATGACTATATTACAACTTGAACAGTTCATATTGTAAAGTATTTCAAATTAATATTACCTTCTTTTAAAATAATCATCTTATTTTTTTTATTTATTTATTTATTTTTTTTTTTTTAATAAATCTCTGTTTATTTAAAATATTTTATAATTTTTAGTAATAATACCTAATAATTTTTTTATTATTATTTATTTATTTATATTTTTTTTTTTTTAAGAAAATTTATTTATTAAACAATTTTAAACCATTATTATTATAAAATCTGTAAATTTTAATTGTTAATAATTTGTTAATAGAACCATAATAATTATTTATTTGAATTTCATTGTAAATATAAAGTTAAAATGTTTAGTAATTATTCAATTATTCTTAACTTTATGAATAATATTTAATAATAAATTTTCCGTTCAGAAGAGTGATTTATAATTTGAATATCATTTATCTAACTTATGTTTGCATTCTTATATTCAAGGCGCTATTAGGCATAGGTGCTACACATTTAGAGGGGTGCGCGTACAGCCAGCTCGGCGCCGTAACTCACGCCTTGTACACAGTATATATATAGAGTATACATGCTTAGGGTTCGAACATAGTGACCACAATATAGGATTTAAATGCAGTGTATATACTGAGTTTTATGAATGAATTTCTCCTACTAAATTAATTATTAATTAATTATTTATTTAATAGAAATTTCGTTAAAAAAAATTTAAGTTTACTAAGTTTTGTTTATTTAATAAATTTATTTAATGTTATAAATTTTTAGCAACAATTTTTTTTATACATATAAAAAAATTGTTTATTTAACAATTTTCAAAAATTTAATAATAAAATTTGGTACATATAATAAAATTTTGATAATTATTTAAGTTTTAATAATACTTATATTATTATTATAAAATTTTATTTATGTAACAATTTCTTTAATAATTATTATATTATTATTTATTTATTTATATTTATTTATTTATCTTTTTGTTTTTAATTAGTTAATTTTATAAAAATTTACCAAGAATTATAAATTATTTAATAAATATTTATTTTAATAAGAATTATGGGAATTTTTGTTAACTTAAAAAAAAAATTGTTTATTTAACAAATTTTTAATATTTAATACAAATCTCCAATAATAATTTAAAATTTAGCAAGAATAATTAAAGCATTTAATAAATATTCGGTTCAATAATAATTTTATAAATTTTTAGAAAAATTATTTATTTAACAAATTTTTAATAATTATTACATTGTTTTTTATTGTAATTTTTTTTTTTTTTTTTTTTAAATTGAAAATTTTTTTGAAATCAATGACATTTTTTTAATTAGGCTTATAGTTTACGAGATATTTAGGATTTTATCTGGCAGTACCTTTTTATATAAATTTTCGAATGTTTTGAATTTGGAGAGAAAAAAAAATTTTCAATCTCGATTTACATGTTTTAGATCTCAAAATTTCGTGTCACATTGTGGTAATCAAATTTCGGTATTGATATGAACTACAAGAAAATGAAGTTTAAAAATTTATTTTTATTTATTTATTCCATAATTTTGTTTATTTAACAATAAAAATTTACCAAAATTTATCTGATTTTAACGTATTTTTGTTTAGTTATCGAATTTTTACGAAATTCAATAATAATTTTTATTACTTTGAAGAAAAATTGTTAAAATTAAATTTAAAGTTGGTTCAATGTAGGATCTATGTCAGTCGGCCTATCTAATGACAAATGCTCAATCTGTCGCTTGACTATATCCCCTCTATGTAGGCTAAGTAATATAGGACCTCTATAGAAGATATATATATATGCGCTATGTAGGCCATAGTATGTAGAATCTATATAGGACTTAAATGTATTATTTACGTAGGTCAAATGTTCTACAATCTATATGGGGTTTTTATGTGATTTCTATATAGGCTTAACAGTATAGAATCTATATAGAAATTTTGAGGAAATCCGATATAGATGAATATAATATAATCTATGTAAGACTTGAAATCATTTCGAATTAGGAAGAATAATAATTGCATTATTATTGCAAAATTTTAATTATTTTATGCCCCTTTTTTTTTATTTATTTAACAATTTTTATAATTATCAGGTAATTTTTCTATAATTTACCAAAAATTATTAATTATTCTAAAATTGCGCTTTATTAATAAATTTAATAAATTTTGTTATAATTTTTATTATTTAACAGAAATTGTTTATTGAACAATAAAAAAAGAATTTTATTAACTTTTATTAAACTTTAGTAATAATTTTTATTTAAATTTTAATATAATTGCACTATTATCATCAATCAAAATTTTTTTTTTTAATATATGAATCGAAAAAACTTTATAACCTAGGGATTTTGTTAGTTTTTACAGCAAGAGCTGAAGGAGGGGTGGTTTCCTATGTATGCCCGCATACCGGTATTAGATACCGTTTCACAATCGAGGAGGGTAAGTAATGCAAAGAAAAAAAACTAAAAAGCATACATATGTAACAATATATCTTTCCTCCCGCTTTTTTTTTTTAGACGGATGGCATTGGTATAGGGCCAATGAATATGAGGGTGAAGGTGGGTCCGATGCTGATGATGAGCATTATGAAGAGGACGCAGCGGTAGCTGGATGTAATGCTGCAACCTGCAACAGCGGTCATGAGAACATCTTGCCCCCACATGTAAGTATTATATATATATATATATATATATACATATACATGCATACACTTACAATTATGAATTTATCGATTACATTAATAGCTATTTGTATTATTATAAGTATTCTTAAAAAGAGTTAGGTAAAATCTATCTTTCGTAATTCTTTCGAATTCAAAAAAAAAAAATATATATATATATATATATATATTATTATTATTATTATTTTTTTTTTTTTAAGATTTGCTTAATATTATTTCAGTTTTAAGCGAATGGAAATTACATGTATATTTTGTAAAATAAGGATTTATGTAAAAAAAAATAATAATTATACATATATAAAACAATAGTTCATAATAAATCATCAACTTTGCGAGCTTTTGGAAAAGAAGATCCATACATATATCCTTCCTCTCTCTTTTTTATATATAGTTTGTGTTTTAACTAAAATAATGGGCAAGTGATAAAATTTTGTTTTGTTAGACTAACGTTATTGTTCCAATTTTACATTAATTTTAAGAGTTCGCGCTTTGTTCTTCTTACTTATTCTAACTAGTAATCCTGGCTTAGTTTTGAGATTACCATGATAAGGGCTTGGATTCATGATTAATACATACGTCACAGTGGTAGTGCTTTCTGACTCTGACACCGCAGTTCAGTTTGTTTCTGTGCGTTAAGTGTTTCGTTCCGCTCCGCGTTTGTTACAGTTCTGATTTTTCGAGGTGAGTACAGAATTAATAGTAGTGTATAATATTAATAATAGTAAGGAAGAGAATGTAAAAACAAATGTTCTTTTATTGATTTTGTGCGTCAGAAGAAATCGGAAGAATGGGAGATAAATCGAGTGACATGCAAGAAGGGGCTGATGAACGCAGCGGAATCTTAAAAAACAATAGAATATTTAAACTTTTAAAAAAAATGAAAGAGGAAAAACAAAAAGAGGAAGAAGCGGTACAGGAGGAGATTAATAAAATTTTGTTTATCGAAAATTTGCGAAGAGCAAGGAAGCCCTCTGTGCTTGAATGGATACAACAAAATAAACTGGAATATGCGTTGAGCGAATTAACGCATTTGAGGGAAAACCCTCCCTCCACATCAAAGGGGTAAGAAATAAAAACACATACCTATATTTATTTTTGAAAATTTTCATTTAAATTATTGAAAATAATTAATTTATGGAAAGTTTAGTTTTTCTTTTTTTTATTTATTTTTTTATTTAGATTAAAAATCGTATAATCTGAGGCTTATTATTCAGCTGTTTCTTAAACTAATATATGTATGTAATTTAGGTTTTATTTTATAAGCAAAATTAATAATCTAATAATGCAATTAAAGTTTAAATGAGAACAAAATTAAAATCCAAATTTAACTTTACTCAATATAGTTAGTCAACAATTAATAATAATTTTGTTAGACTGTGAGTCGGAAAAAGAGGAAAAAAACTCCTCCCCTTCCCTTTTCATGCATGTATGTGTGAGTAGCATTCTGAATTCATTCACGCGATGTTGCCTTTCTTGAGCACCGTAAAGAGTCAAATTTCTAAGCTGGACGGAGGTTAGATAAGCATTCTTCGAAAAAATTTTTTCTTAATGCGCTCTGTTGCCAAATCAGCATCGTGATTTTATGTTTTAATAATTATCAACTTAAAGATTTATACGGAAAAAAATTAAAATGAATGCTTGAAAATGGTATGCAATAATATAACAAAAAAAATAATTGAACTTAATATTTATATACTTAAAATAGCATATCCTTGAAATAGCCTATATACATATATATATATATATTTTTTTTTTTATTTAGAGTGTTTAATCACTTATTTCCATACATAAGCACAAAGTTCGTAACCGTCAGTCATAAACAAGGAAAAGGGAATTAACTTAAATTTCAGTATTTTAAACGTGTTTTAAATCCAGAGACCTTATGGCTCAATAGTGATTTTTTTTTATGTGAACCCGTAGAGAAGTTTCTCCAGGTTTCCCTATTGAAAACTAAAATTTGATAAGTTTCTGATAGGGAAAAACGCAGAACTCGGCTAGGCCCCGACGCCTCCGGTGACGTCACTACCCTTCCCAAAATTAGTTTTGATGGTTAATAGTGAGAAAATGACAAGAACCACATGACTAATTTCCGTCTAATTTTCAGAAAAAAAAAATAAAATTTTTTTTTTCTTTTATTTTTATTTTTTTTTTTATCATAATTTCAGGTTATATTACTATATGATTAAACTGTAAAAGAAAATGTTTAGTTTATATAGTTCGTTAGAAAATATAATGAATTTAAATTATTAAGAATGTGAAAATAATTTTAATTAAGTATAAATCAGTTCGAAAATATTAAAATTAAAATGTCTTATTTAATGGTAAACCTCTTTGAACTTTGAGAAATTATTTTGTATGATGTTTTTGTAAAAAAAAAATTATTTTATTAAACATCAATATATTACCAAATAGGGTATAATTGCTCCAGTCATTAACACTTTCTTAGAAATAAAGTAGAATTTTAATACGTCGGCGAAGTTCAAAACGCTTCCCACAACGAAGAAAAAAAAAACTATTTTTCTTGACAAAAACAATAAAACATTTTGTTTATAATTTTTTTCTCTTTTTACAAATTATTGATCGAAAATTAAGTAAAATAGTTTTATTGTGCAAAATATGTAAATATTTAAATAGAAAATATTTGTTCCCTCAAATCGCTGATCAGAAACGCTGTGAACCTCACTAAAGTAATTTATTAATTATTAGACTAAATATTTGATTTCAGCACATGCACAATATAAAAATCCTAATTATAAGTTTCGCCGCGGGAAATTGATTAATTGTATTACAATCAATCAACGATTGATCTTCCCTTTTTAATAAAATGATGATATTAATCATATTTCTTCCGTAGTGTTTAGCCATCTAAAATTTCGTATTAACTATGTAATTTTATGAGCATCCCACGTGAAACCGAAGAGCCCATTGCCGAACCCCCCCCCATACCACGTCTGATCTGATTCCAAAAAAAAATTTTAGAAAACTTTTTAAATTTAATAGAATTTTCGAGGATTTAAAATTGAGAATTTTGAAATGTTTTTGTAGTTAAAAAAAATTTTTTTTTTTTTTTTGAAGATTTCACTAAAATTTATTAGAAAATGCGGACAAAATACAATATTTTGAAAATGAATTTTAAATGAAAATGGTTTCAGATGGTTGAATTTTCAAGGAATATTATTAAAATAGTTAAAATAATTGAGATTTGAATAATAATTTAAATTAAGTTTATTTTTGATTGAAAATTTGGATAATTAATTTTGAATAGAAATTTTAGAAAATAATTGAGTTTTATTTTATTTTAAATTGAAATTTCGGGTAAAAAAAAAAATTATTTATTTATTTATTTTTTTTTAATTCAATTTTATTTTGATATATATATTTAATTATAGACAATTCATAAAATTTTAATTGAAAAAGTAATTTTGATATAATTGAATTTGTGATGTATTTGAAAATTATTAAAATAATTAATTTAGTGAAGAATCATTTTAGTTCAAAAAATTATTTTTTTTTTTATAATTGAATTGAAGAAAACCTGAAAAAGATCTACATTTTGTACAAAAAAAAGGTATTTTAAATAAATATATATATGTATATCCTCTTTTACTCGTTCATAATATAAATAAAATTATTTCTATACTTAATATAAAACAAAATTTTTTTTATAATTTTTTTTTTTTAATAATCTTTTTTTTTAAACCAATCCTATGAAAATTTTCTTCCAATTAGATTATGTGCATAGAAAAGGGAAATAAATTGTTTTGTATTTTATGATTATGCTGTCTTTTTTTTTTAGATTTATGATCAATTTTGGGGAATGGAGGCCTGTTTCTCCCCGAACCGTAGTTGGCGAATTATGGCCTTATGACCGGAGTTTGGCTTTCGGGGTCGAAAGAGCTAGCTCCATGACCTCCTGGTTTCAGGAGTATTTTTGGGACGAGAGCGAGAGGAATTACCTTGCTCGTGGATTTTGGGCTCCAGTAAGTATCTAATTAAATATGACAAACAAAAAAATAAAATTCTGAAAATTTATTTATTTTTTTTTTTAGCAATCCTTTCGTAACCCAGTATACGTCGGGGATTATTTACCGACACTGGAATTGGTTGAGGGAGGAATTTCGGAGGGTCTGCCTCCGTTAGTTTGGTAAGACAAAACAATTCAAAATTTTTTTTTTTCTTTTTTTTTTAACTTTTATATATTTTTTTTTTAGTCTTTTAAGGGACCTGCCTGAGATCCCTCCGAAAGTAGGGTTTCAGCCCTTGAAAGAGGGATTCAAGCTGACTTTTCTCCAGTGCCACGACTGGTTGGCGCCAGGGCAGCCACGGACAAGAGGCTGGTGGAAAGTGGTAAGACGATTCTCTTTCTCTTTTCTCCCACAATTTATACTTATGACTGCGGCATTTTAGAAATATGTCCTTACAACAACAAAAAAATTACATCTAGGGTAAGTGTACCAATTACGGCGAGTGCATCAATTACGGCGCATTCATAAAAAAAAATAACTATTATTACTGTTATATTTAATATAACTGTTGCAAAATGATTTAAAAAAAAATTATTTTAATCTTTTTTTTTTTAACACAATTACTTATAAAGATTTACATTAAAACAATTACTAATTTAATTATTTAAGATCAAAATTTTTTTTTTTTTCTTTTTTTTTCCGCGCCGCAATTGAAACATTTTTAAGATTTTCATTGGCTCCGATTTCGGCGGGCGTAGTATTTTCAAAATACACGTAATTTTGGTCACCGAAATTGATACAAAAGCGCCGCAATAGAAAATTACGGTACTAGTTTTAATTTCTCATATTTCTTTAATTAATCAATTTTTATAAGTCTTAAATTGACGTTATACAATAGAAATGTCGAATTTTATATTTCAAAGGTGTTTTTACTCGAATCGCGCCGCAATTAGTGCACTTACCCTATAATAGAGTAAAAAAAATTTTTTTTATTTTATAATACATAATTGTAACTTTAATTGCGAATATTTCGAAACTAAGCGGAAATTGTTTAAATTGTTTGAAATTAATAAAAACTGTTTTAAATTCTCTTTTTCGTTTTTTTTAGAGGTTAAATGTCGACAACAAATTTGCCTGGGCGGATGTTCCGGAGCGAACAGTAGCTCAAAATGGCAACGGCGAGGACCATGCTGAGCAAGACGTGGAGGAAGAGTGGTAGGGAAAGTTTGGCTCTTTCCAATTTGTCAAATCCATTCTCCCCCTTTTTTTTTCTTCTAACCTTCGCATGACAAGATGCCCACCCAGGTGGGCCAGACAAATTGAAATTGCCATATCTTCTAAAGTTTTGCCTTAATTGATTCGTGATTTTAAGTCACTGAACAAAATCTTAAGATCTTTCAAAAATGTAAAAACAAATTTTTGAAAAAAATTTCTTCTTGATTATTTATAACTTTTATCAATGTATGTACGGAGATAACCGGGATGATTCAGATATTTTTTTTTTAATTCCACTTTACAAAAAGACCTGAAATCATGCAGACCCCTCACTGTGAGTGCTCTATGATGTCAAATAATAGATATAAAAATATCATATTGCATCCTTCATCTGTTCAAACAATTCACTGCTACTATCCATTAACTCTCTCTGTTCTGCACCTAGAAAGATGCAGTTCCCCTCCAATCCCGCAATTTATCAAGCGGAACACAATAAAAGATAGATTTGATGTAAAATTGTAAATTCAACAATTGTTTAAACAATTAGTTAAATAGTAAATTCATATAAAATCTTTGTGTTACTATGTTGTGCCTGTCAAGCCGCAAAACCAGAAAAAAAACTGCAACTTTCCAGGAATATTATGAAGAATGCTAATAAACAGCAACACTTATTTGTTTAAACAATTTATAATAATAGTTGTTGCAAATTGAATTATATATTTTATTTTATTTATAACCCTTGAATTAATAACTACGAAGAAAAGGTAACAAATTTATAAAATTCTTCTACTGTCGTATGTATATTTAAAAAAAAAATTATAAATTATTAACAATAAATTGTTCAAACAAACAAAAAACCAACAAAACATTAATAAAATATACCACTTGGTAACATATAACAATTTTGGAAAAAAAACTGAACGATTCCAAGCCCTTATTGCAATATACAAAGAAGAAAACATTTGGCCCACCCTGGGTGGGATCCTGCCAACCGTGTATATAAAAAGTATCCAGTCCGGCGAAGGCCAAAAGAAACCTTCCCTCTTTCCTTTTTTTTATTTGTGTAGAAGAGAAAAAAAATAAACGGTATTAACCACGTCAAATTAATTGTGATTGATTTATTTATGATATCGGAACAATTCGCAGTTTCAGAGTCAGAAAGCCCCCAGTACGTCACCCCTTTTTTTTTGTGAGACAGAAAAGAGAGAGAACAACATATATATATGCATATACACTATTCTTCTTTTCTTTTTTTTTTTTTTTGGTCAACCTTTACTCGCATACATATACATATACACATATGTGGTTGGTTAATTAGTGTTAACCAAACACTATTTAGACATTTCCGTGTACCAATGATTTTAATCTTAAATAATTATACCGTATGACTTACGATGTGACGTTGACTATGCTGGTTGAAGGTGCTGGATGGGTAGTCGTTTTGGTACCCTTGAGTTGGTCTCCGGGGAAGATCTTGACGGAGATGAAGGCGTTTTCGTCAGTTCCCCTTCTAGGTAATTCACGATGTTCAGTTTATTTTTAACTACAGGGTTGTTCTCATAGTTCATAATTGCATGTCCTTCGAAGTTTGTTTCCGAAAACCTAGACCCAGACGTTGGTTTTAGTCATTTAATCTTCGGAGGTGCCACATCTTCGGAAGTTGCAGACTTTTTCTCACGCATTGGTATTGCAATTGGCTCGATGGATGTCCATTCTCTTTCAGAAATTAATCGGTTACCTTTGACAGTTGAAGCCACCTTTCTTGGAGCTGCTATTGCTTCTGTATTTAATAGGATTATATCTTCTACACCTGGATTCGGTAGGACTGGCTGTTCTGAAACAATGGAGTCTCCACCCAACGGGACTGCATTTCTTTTCTGGGTTGGTGGTATGCCTTGCTCGATTACTTTAATTTCAATCTTTCCGTGATTTTGTCGTTGAAACAATTGACTGATTCCAGATTTTAAAGGCGACCGGCAGGAATAAATGGCAAGTAATACGCATATCAGAACGATTCCTATGTAAGATCCGTATACAAGAAGTGATTGTTCACCCTTTAAATGTTGTTGAAATGCAAATTCTTGCAGTTGCTGTTCCAATTCTTCGAGAGTTTTAGAATTAGCCTCGAAGGTAGTAAACTTTGCTTCTGTTGCTTTCTCATAAGGCGTTAAAATTCTTGATCCGGTTAATAAGTAGTTGTATTTCGATAATGGGGACGAAAGGTCCGTTAGATTTAGGTGCAGATCTGATTCAAAGATGAATTCGGATTCTCTGGCCTGTGATGTAGTAGCTGGTATAATTACATCCTGGGCTTTTATAAAGCATCCTGGAGCCAATTTTAAAATTCCGACGCCATTTAGGGAAACTTTGACAGGTTTGGTAGAGTGACAAGCAATTATCACAGATTCAGGTGTTGCAAAGGAGTAGATCCATCCGCTTATCGTGGTCAATGGCTTCCAATATGAATCTTGATTAACCGTCACTCGCACGTCGCAGAATTTCAAAGCCTCCGGCTTTGGATCAATCAGTGGTAGAGCTTCACAGGATGGTCGCTTGCGAAGGTCGTAGATTGGTGCGCCGTTCAAACATGCATGGTATGCTGCAGCGGTTTTACAGGAATTCCAATCTTGCTCCTTTAAAAGGAGATAAGTATACTGTTCCTCATCTGCAATCAGGTAATCGTACTTTGATTTTATATAAGCCCTGCCTGTTCCATTTCCAATTACATCCTGGATGGTTGGAAGTGGGTGAATTTTGTATGTCTGATAGTTGTATTTTTCTAGGAGTGGGATGTCAACCAGGACCTTTAGTTGATGATTTTCACAGAGAATAGTGACTGTGGAAATGCGCATTAGTTCGTCAATGCTTATCCTTGGTCCGGCTAAAGGAAACTTGACCTCCTTCAGATTATCCTGTACTTCTCGCAGGATCGGCTCCAGTTGTTCCGATGTGATGAGACCCGGATGAAGATTTCCTTTTCTGGCTTCGTGAACCGCTTCCAGCATCGTTGTTGTCGCCTGGATACTATGATCAAGTCCCAACCGTAATGCCCTAGCTAGAGCATACGTCAAATTCATCCGTACCATTTCAGCTGGTGACTTCGGACGGTCTACGTGACCCAGTAGGTCTTGAAGCTTTTCTTGCAATTCCTTCAGCAAAGAGCCATGCTGTTGAATCTGCGAGTGCAGTGTATCGAGTTGGGACCTGACTACATGAGTTTGTTTGCCTACTAGATGAGATAAGTTGGCCTGAGCGTTGTTAAGATTTTGGATTGCTGCGTTAAATTTTTCTCCATCATCATATGTCAACATGCCAGCTATGGGTCCAGCGATCTTTCCAAGGAATCCCAGCAATGGGACTGCTCGTCGTTTTCGTAGTTGAGAAGTCATCCTCCTGGGTAAGGTTCCTTTAGTATTTTCTAATTCTTCGATTTGGGCTCGGAACTGTTTTTGTAGCTCCGAGGCCATTTCTCACCTGTCTTCCCACTGATAAATCCCTACTAATTCTTCAAACCATTCTTCATCAGGTCTGCACTGCCTTCTTAGTCTTTCCAACCTGGACTTCAAATCATCGAAGAATCGGCATTGTTTACCGATATCAAGAAAAACTGCGATTCTCCAGTTGCTGACAGATCTCCTCATTTCACCGATGTATTCAAAATACATCCCGCTGCTGGCCTTGAATGGAGTGATTTGGAAAAGGTCATCGTAGTTGGTCCGATCAGATCTATTGGAGCTGCTCTGAGTTGCTGGTGCTACTGGGATTCGGAAGAGACACAGCACTATTAAAATTTTCATCATGGTCGTCGTCGTCTTTGTACCCCAGCTCGTCTACTCTCCTAAAATTGAATACCACATTAGTAGAGGTTAAAAAAAAAAGGTTATTGATTATAAATGGGCAACCATGACCTTGTCCCGGTGTTTAGAAAATCTTTCGCCGTTTTCATTTTCGAGAATTACGTTGTTATT